CACTAGATAAAGATATGTAAACGTACATCAAAGAAAAACATACCAGGAAGTGCTAGAAGTGTGCCAAACTCTCTGCAGTTGGAGACGCCAGTACTGTCTTCTGCACAACTGTGCCACAAGTTTTCATATATGGTAGAGGTTGTTATCACACTCCCATGTGTAGAGGAGACTTTCCAGTAACTATTTGACAAAATTACTCCAACCATCATCCATCCACTAACACAGAATAGAAAGCCAATAATTTCTAAAATAGCAGACATGGCTGAAAATATTCACCAATATCTATGTTATATTAATATGAAAATATATTTCTCCTTTAAAGGGTACTTGCTGTCTTAGCTCCAGTTTCACTCCAAAATCAAGCTACCTTTGCTCTTTGCTCAGTCAGGTAAATGATAAGATTTATATCATATTGCTTTAATAACTGGGGGGAGTGGTTTAAGAATTGCAGTAGATTCATCCATGAATAAATATGGAGTTGGATCCAGACTACTGTGGCAATTCCCACTTATTCCCCCTTCATGTAATTCATCAATGTCTTCTAGCCCCCAGGAGGAGTATTTTGTGCAGATCAGTAGTCTACAGTGCGGGGGGTGGGGAGGAATGTTCCATTTGGCCATTGAAAAATTTAGTCCAGATCCAACCGAGTATTTATCATAGCTGTTTCCACATCACACCTCCTACACTAAGGCTTGTAAATATCATTTTTACAGGCTGTAAAAAAAAGAGTAGTGGCCATGAAAATAAAATCAGTGCTGAAATGTGAAGTGAGGCAAATGGGAAAAGAAATCTCAATCTAGTGTTTACATTGCCCCCCCCTTCTGCTGCAGGGTCCTTGTCTTTTTCCTAACAGGTGCTAAAAGCATTTTTTATTAGGGAGGCTTTGTTGAGGGGACCAGTTAAACCCCTCTTTTCCCAGCACTGCAACCCCAATTTAGATTCCTCTTCTATGTCACAGTTTGATCTAAAATTGTTTGCAATCTGTTATGTCTTTAGATGCTGCCTGACGCCAGCCAGAGGCAGCTAGAGCTTCAGTCCAGAAGACAATAGGGACTAGGCTCCTGAACTACAAGTAAGGAGCCAATAGCGGGAAGTTCAAACCCGCCAATAGGACCTAGGGGTGTCCCTCCACAATTGTACAAAGTTGGCCATCCGGCCGTTAGTTTTTGTTCCATGTGTTAACTCCAAATAAACGCGTCTTATCGGATGTTGTGGTCCACGTCCTGATGTATCGAACCCAGTACTTTTCACAATCCCTCCATGGTTTGGTATAATTCTTTAATCTGTTGATATCTACGGATCATTCCATACCTCTGAGTAATTAAGGAAGTTGTTGAACAGCTTCAAATCTACATCAGGACCAAGGATAGGAGAACCCTTCAGCAAAAGGGTGCAAGGCACAGGGAGCAAGTTAGAGAATCAGGGTAGCTTGTTGTTTGTGACATTGACTTGAAATAGCTAATCAAATCCTTCTCTGCAGGTGCCAAATAACAGCTAAATACGGCAAATATTTTACAGTAGCACAGACTAACGTGTCATATGGTAGTGGCTGATCTATGGAGTGAAGGCCACAAAATACCTTCTATGTAGCAGCTACCACATGGATGCAACTTCAAGGAACATCCATATTGTAGCTTTTTCCTTTGAAACAGGCTTCATAGACAGATCCCCACAGGAAACTAAGGCAGAGACTGAGGACTCTGCTACATAAAAATGCAGGTAAGCCTGGTGCATACAAACTGGCTGCTACCTGAATGCTGCTTTAAATTGTTCACCTTGGCAGCTTTCCTCGCTTGTCAAACCATATACCACTGCTTGCTGTACAGATGTTCTTCACCAGGTCAAGTGTCCACCATGAGAGGCTGAGTCTGCTTATAGAAATAGCACCTTCTTTCGGAAGAATGTTCGTCTAGCACTTATCTTGTGTTGATGCATGTCCATCAACTGACTATATTGTATCATGTCCTTGATATGATTTTACAAAATATTTACTTTGTAAATATTAATGATTTACTGATAATTGATTTCCTGCTAAGCTGATGTATTGTCAATGTTTTAATTTTCAGGGGAAAATAAATACCTGACAGCATTTGATTGATATGTTTATTTAATAAAGCACGAGGATCAGAGAAGGAGACAAAGTCTCAAAGATTAAGGTATAATAAGAAAGCAGTTAGAGATAGAAATAATGGCTTGCTCAGATTATTAGTGTATGCTGCGATTTTTCTTGATTTATTGTATGTTAAGATGATGGATACAACTTGATCATACAGTATCTAAGTTCCATGAAAACTACTATCAGCAACTATATTGCTAATAGCCATCATGTGTAAATACTGAACACCTTCAACCACATGTAGAAAAAAACAAACCTAATTTCTGGACATGCTAAAGGCTTATCAAATTCAGACAGAATTATGTAGCAAAAAAGTATTAAAAAGTTGGAGTGTTGGTAGCATATGAAACAAATGTCAGGATTGCATAATGGAATACATGTGTAACGGAATGCACATTTGTGATGAGGCATTAAAAGGTGTGATTTTTGTGTGTGTAATAGAATTAGGAAAGGTAGTTTGAATATGATTGTAATCATAACCTATTCTTCAGAAAAGTAAAGGTTTCCCTTGCTCGAAAGTTAGTCAAATCTGCAGGGCTTTTTTTGTAGAAAAAGCCCAGCAAGAACTTATTAGCATAATAGGCCACACCCAACAGCAGAAACTCATTAGCATATTAGGCCACACCCTGACAATGCAGCTAATTAGCATATTAGGCCACACCCCATGCCTTCCCTTGGCTTGCCCAGGCTCCCCCCTTGAAGAGAAGGGAAGGCAGTTTAAACTGCTTCCCTTGGCTTGCTGGGGTACCCCGCAGTTGCGGGGAGCCTGGGCAAGCTGGCCCTTAGACAGGCCGGAGATGGCATGGGGAGGCATTTAAATGCCTCCTGCTCCTTCCACGGGGGCCCCTGGCCTGCCCACCTTGGAGTTGCCGGGGGGGGGTATCGGTCTCCAGGCTCTCCAGAGTGAATGTTGTCGACTTATCCAGGAGTCTGACAGAAGCCCACTGACAGTGAAATCATAAACAGAGTTAAGGTAAAGGTTTCTCTTGCTCAAAAGCCAATTGAATCCAATTCTAGGGAATGGTGGTCATCTCCCTTTCCAAGCCAAAGAGCCAGTGCTGTCTGAAGACTTCTCCATGGTCATGTGGCCAGCATGACTGTGCCAAGGCACACAGAACGCTGTTACCTTCCCACCAAAGCGGTACCTATTTATCTACTTGCAATTTCTTGCTTTTGAACTGTTAGGTTAGCAGGAGCTGGGGCCAGAGACAGGAGCTCTGTGGCACTAGGGTCTCAAACTGCCGCGCTACAAACCTTCCAGTCTGCAGCTCAGCGTCTTAACCTCTGAGCCACCCTGTCTCAAAAAAAGCTTCATGTAGAATGCAAGGTACCAATGTGCATTACAATAGCAAACTACATTTTATAATAGTTTGAGATAAATTTCTAGAGAAGTGCTTATTTATGAAGTAGGAGGCATTTTAGCACAAAGTTAGTGAACAGTTCTATTTAAAAAATCTTAATTGGAATAGGCTGAATCAAAATATTCTCTTTGCCAAGTTGAATTATCACATTAAAAAACTGAATTAAAATGGATTAAAATGGCTGGATCCCATCAGAAGTGAAAGAGTTAAAATGACCAAGTTCTGATTTCAAAACAATCTTGTGGCAAGAGGAAATATAAGTTGCACAGGATTCATTTCCTTTTTCCCTTCCATATAGCACTGCAGCTTGACTATCTGTGTTTGTTTTTAATCTGAGTAACCTTGGAAATTGAGAATTCTAATTTCCCAATATTAGGGACAAGTATTTTGAATTCAAAATAAAAGGAAGGGAATTTGTCCTAGGATACAGGGGTAGAGTTGCATAAGAAAAATAGGACACTCAGCCCCAAATAATAGCTTCCTCAAGATCAGGACCAATCTATTTTTAACTGTTTTTCTGTTTTTGTTTAAAATACAAGTTCAATGCAGGTTATATTGTACAAACATTTCACCGCCACAAATAACAGAGGAAATTGTACAAACTGGAGAGCAAAACAGTTAAAACACTCACTGATTAAGTACAGTGTAAAGCAACTTCTTTATAATAAATTGTGGTTATGTAAAATTTCAGTTGTTGCTTGCATTGTTTTTAGAATGTGTATACAGAATTCAGTGTAGTGTTATTCTTTATCAAGACCAATTCTTGTTTCAGAGTATAATAGAAAACTTTTCTTTAAAAAGGATTCTCCATTCCTCTCAATTAAGATGCTGTTTTGTCTACTGTCTTAATTTCCATATTTTGGGGGGAAAGCTGCAGGTAAACCTACCGGTCCAAAGAAAAATCCCAAACCAGAAGCCATGTTATAAATCTTTATTTGATATTCATCTATGTGGCTAGCACTTTTATTACTGTATGAGACTGTTGCTTTGCAGATCATCCTTTCTTCTCTTTACTCCAAAATTTGTGTTTTCTATTTTCAGCTTTCTTCCCCCCCACCCCCACCCCCATCTCTTGAATGGAAAAAGTAAGATACATGTGCTAAGGTATCACAGAGTGCACCAGAATCAAGCTAACCCCACCTTAAGAGCCCAACACTGATGGCAGTCTGGTACCACCAAGCCACTCACAGGTATCCAATGGTCATTTGACAGAGGGGAAATAACTGACAAATCCCCCCTGCCAAGATTCAGGCCTCACAGTGACCTCCTTAGAGTCCACAGAGATACCCATCTGTCAAGGAGCTGCATGCCACTGATGCCCTCATGAGTAAGACACAACATTTGAGTATTTTGGCCCTGAATTTAATCACAGAATGTACTATTGATACGTCTTATAGTTCTACATATAAAATTGTTTTGCACTGTGTATGTATGTATTAAATGTTGGAGAATCTAGGTTGCACATTCAGTCTGCTCAATAAAATTCATAGTCTAGCATTTTATGAAGGAAAAAATATACTTACTGTCTAAACTTAGGAAGAAATAGAAGCTCTTACACTGAACTGAAGTTGCACAGTTCATCCAGAGACCTTCATAAATCTGACCTGCAGTATTAACTGTGTTTGTTGAACTGGAAGTTTTCCAGCTATTGGACGCAGTGGCAATAAGTAAAATTATGATACCCAGAGCAGCCAGAAGTAATGCAGAGATCTGAAAAGATGAGGATGCCATTCTTCAATGACAAGTTTTTGAGAAGCCTTTCCTCACAGATGCTGATATTAGAGGCCTAAAAGTTGTTCTGAAAACAGAGAACAAACAGTACATACATTAGTTACATTATTGGTAGCTATGCAAGAAAAGAAACATTCAACAAAGAAAATATAATTGTTATTCTTATGTGACATATAATGTCAAAAGTTATTTTTCAGGCATGCAATATGCATTAGGTTTTTCATGCATCTACATACAATTAATGTACACATTTCTAATACATTTTGAACCATGTAATTCAATTTAAAGATTTAAATAATTCACTACATTTGCTGAAGTATATTATATAGATTCAGATTTCCCCCAAACAGTATGTTGTACTTACTGTTGTAAACCATTTGTTCCCACTTCAACGTTCTAGTGCAGAGTTGCATAAGCAGGTCGTGAGGGTCAGTTTTGCCAAATAGAAAAGTGTTTTGAAATGCTTTAGGACCTTTCCCCCTTATGCTAAAAATCAAGGTTTCTCAGACAGATCATTGACTTAGCTGGTCAGGAATTTCAAAGAATAGGGCTGAACCAAATATAATCTGTTAGTACAGAATCAAAAACCTTCCAAACCACTGCTTTCCTTACAAAAATGCATGTTGTAATCTCCAGAAAATAATGGTGGGGTAAATTAGAAAATTTAGACGTTAGAAAAATGTCATAGATTGCACCACAAAGATCACTCATCCACTGCTTGGTGGCGCCACCAGAGTGCAAAAGCATAGTTCTGAAGCACAGATCCTCAGGGATCCTCAGGATTTTGACAGTGAGATGCATCAGACTGACCACCAAATCACATCTCATGTCCAAAACCAGAAATTGCACTACTAAAATAATGGATTCATTGCTTTGTGGTGCCAGCATGGCAGAAAAATGTGGTTCCGAAACATGGATTCTCATGGATCCTCAAGATTTGTACTTTTGGTCACCCCAGGTGTTTGTTTTTCCCCCCCCCCCCCCCGGTTCTTTAAATTTTAAATTAAGTTTATTTAATACATTCACATACATATCATTAAAAAATAAAATATTCTGGGGTGTGGAGTAAACTTTAAGAGTAAGATTAATGAAAACAGAGAATTATACACCCTCCTTCCCTGAAGTACCTGGGACCTGCCAACAAAGAAAAGAAAAAACTCCAAATTCACATACACACTAAGAGGGGAAAGGAAGAGGCCAGAGCAGTGGGCTCTCCACCTCAAATTCATATACATATCACTCCACAAAAAAAGGAAATAAAATAAATTGAAATATTCTGGGATGTGGAGTAAATATTTACAGTAAAAATTTATAAAAACAGAGACTGGTACAATCAAGGAAAGTATCAACAGGAAATCAGGGCATGGAAGGTTAACATTGTATCTCAGGTTAGCTCAGAAAATTGCCCCCACGAAGTATTTTGGAATCTACCCCATACCACGGGAGAAGTACCTCTTCTACACCCTCCTTCCCTGAAATACTGAGGACCTGCCAATAAGAGAAAAGATAGGTAAAAGGTAAAGGTTCCCTTGCTCGAAAGCCAGTCAAATCCGACTCTAGGGTTGTGGTGCTCATCTCCATTTCAAAGCTGAAGAGCCAGCGCTGTCTGAAGACATTTCCGTGGTCATGTGGCCAGCATGACTAAACACCAAGGTGCACGGAACGCTGTTACCTTCCCACTGAAGGAATCTACTTGCAATTTCTTGCTTTTGAACTGCTAGGTTGGCAGGAGCTGGAACTAGAGACGGGAGCTCACTCCGTCATGCGGCACACTCGGGTCTCGAACTGCTAAACTACCGACCTTCCACAGTTTGCAGTTCAGCGTCTTAACCACTTGAGCCACTGCAGCTCCAAGAGAAAAGATAAAACTCTCAAAATTTACATACAAACTAAGGGGGGAAAGGAAGAGGCCAGAGCAATGGACTCACCATCCCAAATTCATATACAGACTAAGGTGAAAAGGGGGGAAGGCCATAGGCAGGGGGCTTACCTTCCCAAAACTACTTCATAGATAAGAATGACAGGTAAAACCAATGACTGTACAAGAAAAAATTACTAGACTAACCCCTACCATGGTGCCCTCATTACAGGGGGAGAAAAAGACATTATTTAGGAACAAATCTAATACGAACCATATAATAACATTCCTAACTGTATTCATAGCTGCCCCCTTTTCGATTTTGGGTGTATTATGTTTTTTTAGAAACCGCCAATCTGGATACAGAGCTTGAATATTTCCACTAAAAGAGCTATTACTATATATTTCTATCCTTCTTTGTCCTTGTATTCCCCAGGCACGTTCTGCCTTATTTAGGTCTTAATATGTTCTGATTCCTATTCTTGTAATGCATCCTCAGAAGGATTTAGGTTTGCCAGTGAAAAGTACTGAGTTCGGACACGTGGCATAGTGATCAGCTCATAGTTTACTAACTCACTGGAAATTAGAAGACAAACTAGCCGATCTGTGACCAGCTTTTTTCCATGCACACACACATTCAAAACACTCCCCCACTCCCCATGATAAACTCTATTTACATTAGTTAAGCAAGAAAAATTAGAAGAT